TTGCTTTTCTGGAAATTCAAGGGCCAGTGTAGACAGCTCGCAGCTTATTCCGGAAAAGCGGCTGATTTTCTGGAATAAGTGGCCCAGTGTAGACACAGCCTTGTAGTAGGCATGTAAGCTACTACTCGAGTAGTCATCTACCCATAAGCTTAGGGTTATCGGGTAGTCTAGTCACTACTTGCTGCCCCCCCCACTTGCTGCCTTTGTTTCAGCCAGCTTAAAAGCCAGTTCCCCCAGCCCTGTCTCCATGGTGCAGGAGGGGGAGGCAGAGCTGCAGTGGTCCCAGAGCCAGCACAACCCAGGACTGCTTAGTCCCAGCTCCCATGGCCACTGGGAACTAGCCCTACTGTGGCTCTGCAGTTGAAATGTAGTAAGAGCTGGGCTGCCTGTGTACTTCACTCCTACTACAGTTAAACTGCAGAGCCACAGCAAGGTTAGCGAGCACCCCCCCATCGACTAATTGAGTAGGCAACAAATTCCATTGATCACTCAATTAGCTAATTAAACACTACTTCACCTCCCTACCTTGTGTGCTACTCCTCTCTTAAAATACTTATTGTGTGGTACCTGCGCACAGTCAGTTTTTGAGACTCCAAAGGCACAATTAGAACACAATGTTAATTTACAGGCATTGCTGTGGTGCTGCTCCTCGTCATTTCCAAGTACCCCACCCCCACTAGCGATGCTCTCCTCACAACAGCCCCTTAAGATGTCAACCTGCCTCAAGCCCTTTACTGAAAGTGATTCATAGCTGCTAGGAGTCATTTCTCGCCGAGCACTTTAATAGCACCTGTCCTGACAGGCCATCTCAATACTAATTCCTTGCTGTGAAAGCGATTCTCCCCCTTCACATCCATCAGTAGGTGGTAAGGTGAGGTTGTGGCTCCCCTGCACAAGAGCATGATGAGTGGAGGGAGGTCATGTGGAACTTGCTTCCTAGAGAGAAAGGTGCAGCTGTAACATCTGCCCTTATATTGTCCACCCATAAAGCTGGGGTTGTCTAATACCTGCAGTGAAGTCAGGCACCCAGCAAAGGAATGAGAAAGGAGAGGGTCTTTCTGCACTGGCCATTGGAGTAAAGCCATACACATTCTGCACACTTTTCGAGTAGCATAGCTCCTTCACTCGACTGAGATATCCAGAATACCCCTACTGCTAGGGAGAGCTGCTAGACTGCACTGCCCATCCCCCTAAAACGAGCTCCAGCTGTAAAAATCCAGAATTGGATCCCTCAGTGTTTAATTGTAGCTCCTGTTAAAAGGGAAGGTTTTCTCTACATCCTCTGAAGAGCTGGCTCCAGGAAAGAACCCTACTCAAATTGCAGGTGGGGATGGAAGGGCAAAGCCTGAAGCTGCCACGGGAAGAAAAAAAATTGTCTCTCTTAAGCACTCTTCAAAAGTGATCAATTCCTAGCTTCCTAGGAGAGAGGTGAAGCACTGGAAGGGGTTACTTAGAGTGAT